GTCCTTGCTTGGATCAAAGAGTGCTAAAGTTGGTGTTGTGATGATCTAATTTTTCAGCATTGCGAATGACTCCTGCTGTGGAGTGTCCCAGGACCACAGACTTTTCTGTGAGAGGAGATCACGCAGGGTCTTCGTTTTCTCGGCTAGCGCTGGAATTAACTTCTCCAATTGGTTCATCATTCCCAGAAAGCTGCGTACCTCAGACACATTAGTAGGTTCACGCAGATTTTGAACCGCAGCCAGTTTGTTCGGGTCCGGCTGTGTAAGACAACCTGTGTCCTAGAAACTTTCTGTCTTTGCAAATTCGCATTTCTTTTTGTTACGCGTCAAACCAGCATTTTGGAGCTGCGTCTAGTCTGATTTCATGTTCCTCGGGAGATCTTCCAAAAATTAGAATGTCATCCATGTGACATACGACTCCCTCCAGTCCCTCCAAAATCTGACACATTCTCATCTGGAACACTTCTGGAGCACTGGAGATCCCAAATAGAAGCCTTTTGAAAGAATAACTCCCAAATGGCGTAATAAAGGTAGTCAACTGTTGGGACTCTTTGGCCAAACGGACCTGACAAAATCCAGAATTGGCATCTAACTTTGTGAAGATTTTTGCCCTGCCTAACTGGCCTAGTGTGTGGTCCACTGAAGGCAAAATAAACTTCTCTCGCCTAACAGCATTGTTCAGTTTAGTTAGATCAACACAAATCCTCACCGTGCTGTCAGGCTTGAGTACTGGAACCATCCCAGAACACCAGTCGCTGGGTCCCTCAAACTTCTGGATGATGTCGAGCTTCTCCATCCTAGATAATTCTTCCTTGACTTTCTCCATTAAAGGTACTTGGATCTGTCTTGCTACATTTGCAGAATATGGTGTTGCACTGGGTTGTAACTTGATGCTGTATTCCTCTTTCAGCTCACCTAAGCCAGTGACGTCTGCCCCAGTGTCCATTTTCACTTTTACTGGCTGCTCCAAGATCTGAAGAGCCGCTTTTTGCAGAGTTTGCTCTCTCATAGATCACATTTATTTTGCCAGTGAAATATTCTTTGAATTTGTTGTGCACAGTTTAATAGTTTCCACGCTGTTGTGTAGTCATGTTGGGTCAGCACATGGTGCATTTGCTTTTTTTTCTGGTTGGAAACAGCATAAATTATGTTTCTGAAGTTATTCGGCAGCTCAGAGTTGTTGGAGACCATTCTAGCCGCTTCTGATACCATGTTGTGTTGCTTTGTATAAGGAGACACCGATCACCAGTGTAGCAGGTATAGCTGAACTCTATTGGGAACTCCCCCTCACTCAGTAGCAATCTCACCAATCAGATATCACAACAGTTCTCAGTCTGCATGAAGAAACGAGCTGCCCGCTCTCTGTGGGTCCTTCTAGCCTTTATGTTTCAGCAGATTCACTGCCTGTGCTTTGCCTTCATATATCAAGTAAAAAGTGTGGTTTAGTTTGAAATGAAAAGACAGGCATTCGCACTCGGTGTCGGTGAGCTCAGCTCTTTGGGCTGTACTGAGACACTGAAGTGAGCAGTGAGTTATGCCGAGTTCACACTGCACGATTTTAGCCCGATTTTTCACTCGCCAACAGGTTTTGCAAAATCGCTGACAAATGCCCGAAATCTGAGGCAAATCGGTGCTCGTTCACACGAGTGACAATCACGCAGTGTGAAATATCAAAGACGCGATCTGAGGGAATCGCCGACACGTCGCCGACCCTCGTGAAATATTTGGCATGCTAAATAAGCCAGCCTCTAGCGGCCAGTTGATGAATTACAGTTTAAGTCACTTCCTTGTTGGCTTTCACAAGAGAGAGTGGGAGGTTGCCGCTTGGTTTTGAGTAGTAATTGGGCGGGTTTTGTAGCGAAAACCTGGCAACCCTGCACCAGACAGAGTTATCGGTGATTC